TCGTAGTGCATAAAATCTGTTAGCAGGCTACATCAAACTCTCCAAGACATAACTGTTACTTGGAAACAAAAACTTATTTAGGAAATCCCTTAAAAGAAGCCATCATAATGACAAAATAGAAGCAATCCGTACCTCAGAGTCACATTGTGGAAACAAGTAGGGGGTGTTTATATGGTTTTACATAAACAAAAGTTAGTGGTTTGGTTCCCTCTTAACTATTAATAAAGTTTTAAAAATTTTAAAATCTATCAAGTTTGAAGCCGCATAGGATGACTACTTACACAAACCACCAATATAAAGTCACCACTAACTTTATTTGTCCTACTTCTCCATTATTTATGATTCTTTGATTCTAAGTTATTCCTCTTTTTTAAAATCTTCTTACTTCTAAAAAAGTAGAAGGAAAGATTATGCACATAATAACGAGATGAAACTGATCTTCGTATCAGTGTGCAAGTAGATAAGAGCATTTGAGAGTTCATACTAGGGAAAGCAGAGCTTATCATCTACCTGCAAACAAATTGTGTCGCATACAGCAGCTGATCCACAGTTACCATCATCTCCAGGTTTGACTAATCTCGGGAGAAGATCTCGAAAATAAATATTCCAGACTTTATTGTTTATATTAATAGAAGAAGCATAGTGATGCAAAACCTAATATCATGCCAGAGGGAACAAAAATAAGTTACAGGAGATGTATTAACTTTCATATAGAATAATAATGTTTTTGCAATATTGTTGAGATATTTCAGACATGACTACTCATCAGCCATCATATTCAACAAAATAGTCATTGATCTTGAGAGATTCCACATGGATTGCTTTCATTCTTACTAGCAATGCATACAAAGTAGCAAATTCAGAAGGTAACAACAGATAAAATTAAAGATCGACATGCACTCAATCAAGTATATAAACACCAGTTTAGGACTCAGCCTCATAAAAAAAAGGGACTCATGCTCATAAAGAAAAAAAAGAACTCAGGCTCATAAAGAAAAAAAAAGGATTCAGGCTCATAAAGTAGTAAATAAACTTGTTATTGATATATCAACTACAAAGCAAAAAATAGTTGCGTGCACCAAGTTGAACTTTCAACTTTTCCAACAATAAGTATAAAGTTGAGAATGTTGACTTATTAAATCCAACCTTCTTCTTTGAAGGACATAACCATAGGTGTCAAATGAAATTGATTTGTTCCCTTATCTTTCAACTTTAGATAGTTTATTTCTTAGCTGGTGCGAAGTATTTTCCGTGGCAATGCGAATTCATATGCATGAGTTCTTCCTTGATAGTTCAATTTGAAATTGATAAAAGCAAAAGACTGATTCTGATAGTCATTAAACAGGAAGCAAAGACTTGGAAATTAATTGTGTCTATGGACTGATCCAGCAAGCATCTATTTTTAGTTGTCTTAAAGAAAAGATGAAAGACATGAAAATCTTGCAACAAGAAAGTCGGGATACTTGTGTTCCTGCATAGGCATGTGTCCATGTGTGCATGAGAAATTTGTGCAAAGTGCTGTCAATTACCTGTGGGTACTGAAGAGGCGGAAGCATTGGTTCTGGTAAGTATGATGGATAGAAAGGATGTTCATCTGGACTTTTGTACCTGCCAACCTAATTTGCAAGGAGAAACCAATCAGAAACTTTTATATTATGCTTGTTGTGGTTTATTTCGCTATCTTTCTATTCCTTAGAAGTAGATAACCTGTGCATGGAGCTTTTCAGTTTCTCGGACCATGAACTCAACCAGTGAACCACTAAACCCGTCCATAGAGAATGCATCACAGTCATATGTGTCTGCATTATAACAGTACTTAGCTCTCTCCAAAAGGCTAAATATTATGCTATCCTCTTGTCGTTTTAAGGAGTGTCTTATGCTTTTCAGAGTCAAGATCTCACTCTCATCCACCCTTTGCTTCTTCATGAATCTGTGTAAAACAGAAACATCTTTAATAATTTCCATATTTAGCGGCATATGCACTTCTAAGGAAACAAGCAGTCCATCAATGTATTCTAGAGCAATACAGCATGCTGTTACATTTCTGTCAGTGATTGATAATGCGAACCCCAAGTTAACTGAAAAAAGGATTAGTTGAATTAAAATGGAATGAGTTCATCTTGGATCAAATTGCAAAATCTGTTTAAAATCCTAAATAGATTAAATCAGTCAACGTGCTAGTCTCCAGCTTATTGAGTTTTGCAATCCATAGAATAGTTGAAAGATTCTTTTCCTGTCACAACACAGTTGAAAGATTTCCTCATAGGAAAAAACACATCAAAGGGTAGTGACAGTTCCATTCCATTGAGAAGAAGCATAAGTCTCCAAAGCCTACCACGTGCAGATCAGTTAATCATTTCTTCCTGAGCGTAGGTAGAAACTTAGCGTAAGAATGTCCTAAAGTTATCACCATAACTTGAATTTCCATGTATCCTGGAATTAGGCCCGAACTTTAGATCTAGGGACTTCAATCAAAAGGCAAACATGTACACAAATATATATATATATATATATGAATGACCACACAGTTTCAAATCCACCTCTTTTCTCATCTATCTCTGTTGCTTTCTACTATATCCACTTGCATCATTTTCAGTTTCTTTGAACAATTTTTTAAAGAAAATCTAACCCAAGCAACTCTTCCTTGGGTATAACCCAAAAAATATCAATCTTCTGTTATTAAAAGATACATGACAAGCCGTTCTTTGCTCCTTCTCCAATCAACAGAAGTGTGCATTATTATTATATCAACATGGGCACATGGCAAATCAAACACGCAATTCAGCCCAAAAAAAAAACGGGAAGGCAATAAAGCAGTTGATCAAGGGTTGTAACAACTAAGCTTATAGTTTCGTTACCTGATGAGCGAAGAAGAAGACGAAACTTGAAGGGTTGAATGCCTAGTTGTGCGAAAACATGGTTGAAGAAATCTAAGAGTGTTTTTCGATGTGAAATACGAAGTGGGTATCGAAGATTTTGCGGTTTGAGGGCCTGAAACGACGGCAAAAGCAGGCTCCAGTAGCTTCGCTTCCATGGCCAGTTAATGTGACTGTGAAGAAGGACAACAGAAAAAACAAAGAAACCGGCCACTACAATCAATAAGCGGAGCAGACGGTGAGTAAATTGTCTGAAAACCGAGGGCGGAGGCTGCCTCTAAAACGACCACACTTATTGTCGTTTTAAACCTCTAACTGCCTCAAAAAGTCAAAAGCTCTTTCTCCCTTTGTCAGTCAAGTGGGTCAATATTTCGATTCGTAGAATATTGACAGCATTTTCCTTCCGTGAATGTTAAAAGGATTTTTATTAATCATTTAAATAAATTTTTAATGTATTTTCAAAAATTATAAACAAATATATTCTAAGGAAAATATACAAAAGCAGATAACAAAAATATAATTCTAATTTGTTTTATAATATTCTTTAAAATATTTGCTTAAGTTAATGACACTTAAAATTTTGGCAAAAGTCAAGCTTCCTTTTTGTGTGCTGTTTTATTGTGTATATATACATATATTCATTATATAATATGACTAATAATGAAAAAATATATATTATTTGTAACGTCCCATTTTTTTTTCATGTTAGACGTACTTAACAAGTAACCAATTCCATAACAAAACAGTCATGCACAAGGAAACACTAGCATAATTCATTATCCAATAATTAAGATAATCCTACCATTATGGACAAGACATCGCACACAATATAATCATACTCAATATCTATGCTACCATCAATTCTACATATTCCATTCAGTCAAAACAAAACGAAACTCTTCATCCTGTACTCTACACACTAGGTTCGGAATCCAATAACTTTGATCCAGACTCCGTCCCTACATCATCTGTAAAAAAGAAACACTAGCATAATCTATTTTCCAATGATCAAGATAATCCTACAATCATGGACAAGACATCGCACACAATACAACCATACTCAATATCTATACTACCATCAATTCTACATATTCCATTCAGTCAAAACAAAACGAAACTCTTCATCCTGTACTCTACACACTAGGTTCGGAATTCAACAACTTCGATCCAGACTCCGTCCCTACATCATCTGTAAAAAAGAAAGAGTGAGTTCATTTAACTCAGTACGGTAAAACTCAAAATACATGCGTGAGATGCAACAATATAAAACCTTATGCCTCTACCAATAGTTCACTACTGAACTCCAATTTTCCCTCCTACACCTACAACTCTACCTACCCTAGGTGTCCGTTCCTTGACGGCACTCCAAGCGTGCCAGTGGTACCATTCACCGCTAAGATTGGCAACCATTAACACCTATCGACCCCTAGTGGGCCACGCACGCACACGAGTTTCAATCATTTTCGTCACCAACAGCGGCGACCATCATTCACCTATCGACCCCCTATCAGGCCACACACACACATTATATCCTTCTCTCCCGTCACCACCATCGGCGACCGTTAACCATCTCACGACCTATACCAGGCCACTCACACACACCCGATTTTCATTCACTTGCGTCACCAACATCGGCGTCCGTTAGCCATCTCTCGACCTATACCAGGCCACTCACACACACTCTGATCCTTCCCTCTCGTCACCGATACCGGCGACTACTAACCCTCTCTCGACCTATACCAGGCCACGCACGCACACCATTTTCATTCATTTGATTTTCGTCACCAATATCGGCGACCGTTAGCCATCTCTCGACCTATACCACTCACACACACT